GCCCACACCCACACCCACACCCACACCCACACCCCACACCCACACCCATACCCACACCCACACCCCACACCCACACCCACCTCCTCAATATGATATATTTCTCATGTCCTTTCTCCTTCTTCGTCCAGAACGACCATTTTTTTGAATGCGTTTTTTTTTCTGATTATGTATTTTTCAGTCAATAAATTTATTTTTCTTAGATGACAATGTAATTACTATGCACGTGAACTACAATACTTTTCTTTCGCAACACTTGTGAAATTTGTTTGATAAGTTCTCAATGGTTGTGAGTCACTTAAGTCATGGAGAGGACGTTTGGCAATCTTTGATCGCATGCCATAAAAACGCCATCTATAAGCATACTTTAAAAAACAAAGTCTCTCGGAAGTAGAAGTATCATTTACCACTTATTTTACAATAAATATAAATTACTTATCATTTACTTTACGCGTAAATTAAATGAAACGTAAATATAAATTGACACCCCTACTCGGAAGTATCAGAAGAAAAAAACACGTTGATGGTAATAAAAAGCTAAGATTAGCTTTCATCAAAGTATTTCTCTTTTTTATTCATAATTTGTTTTTATTTTGAGGAACTTTTCAAAACAAGAGAGCAACAACTATATGGCAACTACGAGTTTATCACCATATGATATTCTTGAAGAAAAAAAGACTGCTAAAGATTATTCACTACGTGTAGCTTATCGAAGAAAGATTCTTGAGTACAAAGAAGATCGTCTTAGAAGCCCTAGAACTCGTAAGATTACGGCTGAAAATTTTCGACTTTTTTGTCGTGCCTATGAAACAGTATCTGACTATGATAAACGTGATACTTATCTTAAAAGTGATAAATGGACATCAAATATTCCAGTATCGAAATATACAATACAACAACTGGCTGCTGAACCTGAACTTTTTCAAGAATTAAAAAACAGTTTACAAAAGGCTACGTTAAAGGAAATTAATTCCAAAGACTCAAACACACGACAGACACCACTCTATTGTGCGGCACGTGTTGGCAATCTAGAAGCTGTCAAATATTTAACAGAACAAGGAGCTGAGTCCGACATAGCACAAAGAACAGGAAGTTCAGCTTTGCATGCTGGCTCTTTTTTTGGTCATGCGGAAATCGTGCGCTGTTTATTAGAATGCGGAGCAAATTATACCATTGAAAATAAATCCAACAATACAGCAGAAAAAGAAGCTTATGATGATGGTATTAAAAATACTTTTACCGATTTGAAAATGACGCCTTTTGTACAAATGGCTGCGCAACAACTTGACTGGATAAAGACTAATCTTGGCGATACTAAATATCATATTGATAAACAATATTATGCGCTACGACAAACGTTACTTCATTGTGCTAGTAAGAAAGGATATCTCGATTGTGTTAGTTGGTTAATCGAAGAATGTTCAGCCAATCTCGATATTGTTGATTTTAATTTAAATTCAGCTTTACATCTAGCTGCTTATGGTGGACATGATTCTGTAGTAGAATATCTTCTCAATCGAGGTGCTAATCCACTTTTGCTAAATAAATGGTGTACAACAGCTGAAGATGAAGGCTCTTTTCATGGAGACAAAATAACTAAATTATTTGAATCGATGCGTACAAAAGACATGTTTAAAATGGCTGACGATGGTATCGGCTGGTGGTTTAAATATTATTTTGAGAAAAGATCGCCAGATGCAGTCAATCAAGATGGTACAAGTTTATTGTACGTTGCTTGTCGTTATGGTCGAACATCTGTTGTTGAATGGCTCTTAGATAAAAACGCTAATCCTAATGTGAAACTTGCAACAGAATCAGGCAGTACACCATTACATAGTGCCGTCTATCATGGACATATCGCAGTAGTTGATTTATTATTATCACATGGTGCTGACATACATATAGAAAATAATTTTCATACATTGGCTTTTGATGATGCACAAAACGATGATATGAGACAACACTTAGAAAAATATCGAGCTAATTTGAATGATAAAAAATTCATTGATGTACACTTATATAGCGATGGTGCCAAAGCTGGTAATGCACCATTAGCAAAATTAAAGTTATCTTATAATGCTAAATATACTGACCTTGTACAAGCTATGCCAGAATCATTAAGAGATCAATATCCATGCTTTTCAATAGCTCGACGTCCATTAAATTTTGATGATGATAAAACAACAATTCTATCAGCTGTATATTGCGCTCGATGTGGATCATCGAGATTTATCGAATTGCCAATATGTCTGACAGCGCACGAAAGAAAACGCTATGGGAATGCTGGTCATGTCCTACGTCCTAATCTTCCTGCTAATAATGCAAATAAACTTTTGGAGAAGTTCAAATGCTCAAAACTAACAATGAAAATTACCCCATCCAATCAAAGTGAATCATTTTCTGATACAAATTTAACATTTACTTTCCCAAGTAACTGTGCTGATAAAGATGTTGTGATTAATGTCGCATATATCATGTCACCTGATGTTGACACTACTAATTTACCAGGATGCATCTGTCTTTTTCAAGCATTTTATGGTGCCAGGAATCATTTGACAGCTATGCCGACAGTAGTGCTGAATAATCAACCGAATTCTATTCTATATAATCTAGCACCATCATCATTTTATTGGTTTACTTATCGAACACGAAATACACGTCTAATTTCAATAGGAGAAACATTACATGCTTTTATTTGTCATGTCGATATTATTCCTGCTCAATTAACTCTACCGCCAGATTTGTTTCTGCGTGCTACCAATGGGAAATTATTGTATAATCGTGATATTCCTGTTCCTTGTCGATGTTTGAAAATTCGTGATCACAATAAAACTGTCTTTCCTCATATAGCCTATCACGGAACAGATATAAAAGTTATTGCATCAATTCTAACGGATGGACTTGTTATGGCAAGTACGGTTGTTTCTAGTGGACATCGTGTTTGTCCACCACCAAATCATATTAGTCGACAAGTAGAAGTTTTCGGCATCAAAGATTTTTCAAATGGAATATTCGTAACACCAAGTATACATTATTGTTCAGATCCAGCATATGCCGTCACATTTACGCACGATGATGAACGTCTTATAGTCGTATTGGAATGCGCGGTTAAAAATACATTTGAACGTTTTCCAAGTACTGTAACAACTTACACCGCTCATGAAGGTGATAATTTAAAAGAAATCGAATGGCGTTTGACAAATACGGCAGACATCGAAATCCTATCTGTACTTTTCATTCCTGTCGTAAAATCAAAAGAAGAAGAAGCGAAATTGAGAGCCAAGAAATTAGGTGATAGACCCAAATAGTGTGAAGTAATTAATAAAAAAGAAGTCCAATACCTTTTTAAAATGACTTTTCCATTTTTTTTTATCATGTATTCTTTTACTATTGACATTTCATTAATAGAGGAACAAAGGGTGATAAGATACGAGATTTTTCCAAGCTATCCTGTAAACATTCTATAACCGATTAGGAATTACGGAACGATTTTCAAAGATGTGATTATTCGAAAGATGACTTGAATATACTAAAAACTGATTTGAAAATGCTAAACTTGGAACCTGAATTCTGTCGAAATTAGTTTTTAATTGGTATATCAGTGAATCATTCAATGAATTCAATCTCCTTTTGCTAAACATTAAAAATTCCTTTTTCCTCATAAATACTATCTAATCAACATTTATTATGAAATGATGTTTTTACTGCAACTTTTAACATATATTTTCGAAGCCTTGATCAAGTTTTCTTGGACTAACTTTTCCATTATTAGCATAAACCTGATACTTAACGATATGAAACATATGCATGTTGGTGAATGAAAAATTCTCCATTGTTTTAATTTTATTTAATAGTCAGAGAATTAATATTTTACTACTCATACTTGTTAGTTTTCTCTTTCGTCCAAATCTCCTACTCACTAAATGTTAATAGGTCGGAAGGGATCAATAGAAAGTTATGATCTGTAATAGCTGGGTTAGTAGAGTTAGTAGTCCTACCTTATCTTGTAGGTTGATGTAATACGGAAGGATATAAGTTCAGATGATGAATATGACTTTTATTCAAGGAAAACGTGTCACCCAGATAACACAAAATACACAACTAACTGCTGGGGCATACTTGTTCATGTAACTGAACGAGAGAGAGAGACAAAGAGAAAAAAAAGAAAAAAGGAAAATAATAATAATAATAATATGAACATATATGTATATGTCCAGGAAATATCGAACCTCACATAGGTTAGACTAATTCCATGGGAAACGTACCACGTTTACATCAACTTTCTCNATTTTACTAATATCAATTCCATCAATAAAAATCTTTCCATCTATTGTTGATTTATCAGTTAATCGAAATAGTGCTTGAAAAATAGATGATTTACCAGAACCTGTACGTCCAATAATACCAATTTTATTTCGTGGAAGAATTTCTAAATTAATAGATTTTAATACAGGTTCAAGTTCTGGACGATATTTTAATTTATAATTTTCGAATTGAATTCTTCCTTCAAATGGCCAATTAATTGGTGGTTCTGATTCTTCTTTATAAAAACCTGATTCTGAAGGAATATGAGAATATTCATCAATTCTTTCAGCGCTAGTCATATAATTTTCAGTTTCAGCCGATTGACGTACGCCCCATTGAAAAAGAGTAGTTAAACTAATACAATATGATAAACCCAATGCTACAGATGAAGGATCCATATTTTTACGTAAAGCAACACATAAAATTGCTGTTAAAAGTGTTAAACAACAAGTCATTAAATCTAATCTAAAACCAAACCATCTATTTGAACAAATAAATATAAAAAATACACGTGTATTTGCATTAACTTTATCAATAAATAGATTTACAAAATTATTTTCCATATTAAATGCTCTAATAGTCATTAATCCATTTAATGATGAAGAAAATAATGCATAAATAGGACTTCTAGTTACACTATCTAATCGTTTAACAGCTCTACTTGTTTTTAAATAAAATCTTCTTAACCATAGAAATATTGGAATAATAGGTATCCGTGGACTTGTCATACCAATAATAACAATACTACCTAATACCATTAATAATATTTGAATTGTATCAAAAAATGTTGCTGGTAATAATTCATCAACAACTTGTTGATCTTTACTAAATCTATTTAATACACGACCAACTGGATTACTTTCATAAAATCTTAATGAACTATATAGAACACCTTTAAGCATACTATTATGTAATACAGATGCACCACGTAATATTAAATGAAAAAAATAATCAGCACGAATTAATCCAATTGTCAATGTACCAATTACTAATCCTAAGTATACATATGGATAATGATTTTTACGTTGTTCTATGTCTTTTTTTGATGACCATACACTTAACCATTTATTAGTTGCATCATAAACACCTTCACCTAATAACATTATAAAAAATAATAATAATAATCCAATCCAACCATAACCAGAAGTGAATAATTTCAACCAAACATCAATACTAACTGTTCCACCAATAGATATTTCTTCTTGAACAATACTGTTTTCATCAATATCTCCAGGTGTATTAGTTGAATCATAATAAGAAATAGTACTATCATGTCTTTTTTTAATATCTCTTGTTTCATCTGTATGATATTGCTGATTTTCATAGGATTCTTTTATTTTATCTATTATCAATAAATCATTATATAAACCTTGTTTTTCTATTTTACCATCATGTAATAAAATACAGTGATCAAATTCTGATAAAAATTGTATTTGATGTGTAACTAATAATCGAGTTTTATTCTTCAAAATACCTTCATTACTAATACATTGTTTAAAAATTTTTCTAGCTACTGTAAGATCAACTGCTGCTAGTGGATCATCAAATAAATAAATATCAGCTTCGATATATAAAGCTCGAGCAAGTGTAATACGAGCTTTTTGTCCTCCACTTAAATTTACTCCTTTTTCACCAATTACTGTTAAATCACCAGCAGAAAATGATCGTAAATCAGCATTTAATTGACATGCTGACAATATACGTTCATATTTCTCTTGCTCAAAGGATTTACCAAACAATATATTCTCACGTATAGTACCAGCAAATATCCATGGTGTTTGGGATACATATGCAGTTTTACCATATATGTTACTGCTACCTTGAACAAGAGACATTTCACCGAGTATAGCTGCTAAAAGAGACGATTTACACGAACCAATTGTTCCTATAATACCAACTAATGAACCACTATTTACATTTAAATCAATATCAATTAATTCAACTTTTTGAGTAGAACCCCATAC